CACCTCATTCAGTACGAGGGTGGCAGAGACTAGGGGGTTCAACTGAAATATAAAAATTGGAGACAAAAAATTAGAAGAAGTCGCTGATATTCAATATCTGGGAAGTTGGACAACTTACGGTGGATATAGAAATATAAAACAAAAAATAGCACAGGGTCACACATGTTGTGTGTACAATTTCTTCCGCAGTGTTATCGGTCTTATCACATTATTTACACTTACGAAATGTATAAGTAATAAAGTTTCATGAATGGTATTACATCAGTTAACATTTGAGATAATTATTGTTCTTAAAATAAAACAAAAATAAACTACGCATCTATATCAATATACATACCTTAATCAAAATATGTTATACTACTTGTAAAATTACGATGACAAACTCATTTGGATTAGATTTTTTTTACAGATAAAAAAACACATTCATAAATGATTCATATTTTTTAAAAATCAACAATCGTTTTATCAATAAATAAATGATTAACACCTGTTAAATGTATGTGTGTATTTATACAGCAGGCTACTGTTTGTAAAATTTATTGTATTTTATTATCGTAATGAGAATGGGACTGGTGTAAAAACATGGAAGATATTATTAAATAGAAAATCACATTTAATTTTAATGTTAATGGTAGTAATGAAAATTACACATTTTGTTCTCAAGTGCAGTCGAGTCTCGAAGACCGGTCTTGGTTTTTCCAAGTATGTTTTAAGTTTACCCCCAAAATCAGTCCACAAAACGTCTAATTACGATATTACAATTAACGAAAAACCCTTTTGATATAACTACAGTTAAAATGACTCCCTTTGGAAATATCCACTAGGAGCCGCACGTAGCGCGTGACGTTACAGTTTTCGATTTTACACCCTACTAAATATTCTTCCTACCGCCGATAAAGAAATTTCACTTCAAAAAGGAAAAGGATAGGAACATTTGAAATGTGGTTACAGACGAACGATAAGGATGTCGTAGATTGAGAAGGTTAGAAATGAGGAGGTATTAGAAGGAGTAAGAGAACAGAGGGCGCTATGGAAGTCAAGAAGAAATCGACGACATAGGTTGGTACACCATGCTCAGGCATGAAGGGCTAGTTAGAAACACATTAGAAACAGAAACAGGAGCTAACAAGAGTGGACGTAGACCTAGACTGGGTTACTGTTCACAAGCAGTTAAGGACGTGAGATGTTTTAGTTTTAGGGAATTGGGAAGATTAGCTCACGATAGGAAACAGTGGTGGACGTGCGTGTCCAACGAGTCTTAGGACTGATGACCGTATGATGATAATGATGACCTCCACGAGTTTCTGGGAAAAATGATCTTGACAAATGATCTTCATAATTGTTCTCTTTTTCTTTTTGAGACAAGAAATCCTAATAAAAAACTGGGAAAACATCAGGCAGTTAACACAGATGCACTGGATAGTGATTTTGCCGGGTGCTGCGGATAACTGGGAACTTAGCATTAGCTGTTCTCGATCGCTTAAAATAATCGTTGCCTGAAGGGCTAATCGTTCAAACGACTGAATCGATGTAGATATACTTTCTTTTCACCTGACTGAAGTCGTAGGTAAAAGGTAGTTTTTAATTAAATTGTGCTATTTTTATGTTTGTTTTAAAAATGTTATCATCCCACCCTTGAATTGGTATATACTGTTGTTGTTAAGCACAAGTAATGAAATGAGTGTAAAAAATTGATCCCTGTACAAATAATATTATAGATAAATGCTAAACGAAATTTTCAGCTTTTAAAACAGTCATTAACCATAACTTTCTTGTTAGGTACGTACTCAGTTACTATGCTAAAGATTTCAATGAACCAATAATAGATTTCTCATTAACTTTAATAAAGATGAGTTAGATGATACTTCACTATACATATCCAATAGCACGTTATTATTAAAGGACATTTTAGTTAATTTAAGATCAGGCAATGGAGAAAGGAAATAGCAATGAAAAAGTAAAGTCCTTTAACCTAAATTCTCAAAACACTATTAACAATTCCACAATGGGTGTATCATAAACAAAATAAATAAACCTTAACTTGTGACATGGTGAAGACTGAACTTTATGGAAAAAATTTAACAAATTATGTGAATAATAATTTTAATTCAACTTCTCACTAATACAAAATTTTTAGATAAAGATAGGAACCTAATATATTTATTTTGACATTTTTGGAGATTTGGAACTTCAACTCTAGAGCTAGAACAACGTCTTATCGATCCCAGTTTTCTTACAACAGACTACAAAATAAAGTTATTAAAAGTCACAACATGTGTACCATTACTTTCGATGGTATTTTATCTCTCATCCTCTTAATACCACAGCCCATCCTCGGTTTTCTTCGTTTTACTAATTCTTATCTCTATATCCTATCGCCTCAGAAGAAACCGCTCGTGTTTAAACCACGAGTGCATCCCGCAGGACATCAATGTCTTCCGCTCTCACACAATCGGAAAAATCAGAAAGTAGCGCCACGCCAACCGCGATTTCCCATGAAATTTTCACGTAAAAAACGAACAACGTACACACGTAAATGAATAAACGCGACGCCGTCGTCCGTTTCACGAACCGAACAAAACGAAACTAACGCAAAACAAATACACAGAAGCAGCACCGCTACTTGGCACCGTAATAACCAAGTCGTCGGTCGTCATGAATGAGAAAACTTATTATAATAGTTGGCCACGAGAGAGAAGATGAATCTCCGTTGTGTTGGCCTAATCACGGATTGATCTGTCTATCTAGTAGACCGCCGCGCCGTGTTACCGCACTCGGCATTATTATAATGGCGCGACATAACTGTTTGCGATTCGATCCGGTGCCAGTGGTCGAGAGATTTTTGGCGAAAGTTTAGCACGGCTGCATGACCGAGTTTCGAAAACGCCAAATCGGCTCGGATTGAACAACTGAAGCGTCTAATAGGCGAACTACCTATTTGCTCGCTTCCGTCAAAATTTACCTACAAATACCGAGCAGCAGTAAAAACAGGCTTGGCTTGCGGGCAATTTCTGTTTAAAAGTATTCAGTTACTGTGGGAGGACGAATCCGTAATCAGATAAAGTGGCAAATGGGCACAATAACATCCAAGTGGATTTCTATTAAAAAAATTACTTTTTTACATAACTTCCAACGGTGCATAATACTTTCGAGTGGAATTCGAAGGTGATTAATAACAAATATGTGCAAAGTCATTTCAATGAACCGGAAATTACTATTTACGAATGATCTACATAAATGGCAAGTAGATATCCTTTGTAAGGACTAATATGTCAAACAATATGAGATACTAGAATTGCTAGAAAATATCTATAAGTAAATGAGAACATATAGTGCCTTCAAGTTCTAAATCGCAATCAACATTTGGTGATTTCGATAAATTATTGCTTGCGCTTGAGCATGGACCATTTCATCAGTAAAGCGCTGAAATAAAATTAGATGTTACGAATGACAGTTGCGGATTGGAATGTATTTCGTCTTCACCGACAAACCAAGTTTGAGACGTCACGTCTGTGAATGTAGTAAACGTGAAGATCAGATGTTACTCTTGAAATCATAGAATTGAGGGATGATCAGATTATCATGAGCATTTAGGCACCTGTGATTGTTAGATATTTTAAAATGTTCTGATGGACCGCGCCATATTGTACCTTTTACAGACGTTGGGTCGTTGGTCATGACGTATGAGATTTTAACGTACGTCTAGGAACCAAAAATTAGAAGAAGTGATTGATATTCGGTATCTAATGGGGTGTTCCAAGCGAATGATGATGACACCGTGGATAGAGGTTAGAAATGAGGAGGTAGAAACAGTAGGAGAACACACGACGCTATGGAAGTCAAGAACTAGGAGAGATAAGTTGATAGGTCACCTTCTTACGCATGAAGGGCTAGTAAAGTAAGAGACTGATTTGAAACAGAAACAGGCGTTCAGAAGAGTAGAGGAAGACTTAGATTAGACTAATGTTCACAAATGGTTAGCGATGTGGTATAGTCTAATTTTAAGGAAATGAGAAGATTAGCTCAGGATAGGAAAGAGTGCAGGTGCGTATCCAACCAGTCTTAAGACTGACGACCTTAAGCCATTAAAATTAGAGTTATCAGCAGAACAGAACACAAAGCAAGTGGATTTGAAAAGTGTCATGACTAATAATGGATAGAGAACGCAACTGTCCGCTGACAATGATAATTGTTTATGTATTTATTTCAAGATTATCAGTAGTCAAACACAAAATTCGAACAAAATCTTGCCTACAGACAGACCACTTTGCCTCACAAAGTACAGTTGCTGATAATACTGTTCATCCCTATGTCCTGTTTCTGACCTTTTTAGAAAAAAAATATGAGATGCTATTGTTTCTCGATGAACAAACTACAATCGAATAAGATAAAATAGTACTACGGAAATACGCTACAGCGATTACAGAAAACAGTGCAAAAATTTTGGTCTAGGACCGTATCCAACTATTAAATTTTCGATATAAGATAGATACATACAGACCAAAAAACTCTGAAGGCTGAAATTTACAAAGAATAAGAACATAATATTTCTATTCAAATAATAAGCAGTAGTATTGTGTTACAATGCCATTAATAAATATAGAGGATTTAATAGACATAATGGCACATGGCAAGATGATCAAGACCAGTTAGAACTGGAAACCTTAGTGGTTGCTTGGGTCAAGAACGTGGCTTTCGTGTTTATTAATGACCCTAAGGAAGAGCTTAGTGCTTTTTTTTATATAAGTAATACGATCTTTTGTTTTTTTAGTAAAATTCGTTTTTATGTATAGGCTTCATGATCTCATTGCGATATCTTTTTCTCGTCCCACGTTCATTCCTACCTAAAATTGTCTGCACAATGAAATTATTTAATTTACCTTTAAAACAGAATTTTTTACCTCGGTTATAAAATTTTGAGGCTTCTAACCATAATAATACTTTAATCAGCTAATTACATTATTTGTAGAACAGTATCAAAGCAAATATAACTAACTTACATGTTTTCCATCTCCTGAACCCAGAACTGGGGAATGAGCCTGTAACAATAATACGAATTTCGTACAAATTAAAACAATTAAACATTCTACAAAAATCACAATAATAATTTTTACTTTTTATATACCGGAAGGTAAAAAAATGTAAAAGCAGTATTAGAGCTAATATAAAATCAAAAAAAAAAGCCGGAAAAAGTCGTCGATTTTTGATATAAGGTAATCAGAAAACTTGCGATTGAAAAAATCTAGATACGAGATCTGTCCAAAAAGCATCGCGAATTTAGAATTTCGATTTTCGTTTTTTTGGTGGCGTTATGTTGGTACTCATGTCTATCACTTATACCCACAAGTTCGGCCATGTTGAATGTTCAGTTAATTTTTCACAGCTGCTTCACTTGCTCGTGTTTTGATTCGCCTTCGATTTTTGCCTATTACAAAAAATGGATCAAAGAATCTGTATCAAATTTTGTGTGAAAAACAAAATTAAGTACATTCCGAATGCTGACTGTGGCATATGATGAAGCTACCTTGGACCGAAGCAACGTTTATCGGTGTTACAAAATTATCTCAGACCGAGATGTGAACTACGACGAGCATGCCGGACGCCCGAGAACACGAAAACATTGATAAAGTGAACAAAATTGTATTGGCCAATCGTCGAATTACCGTTAGAAAAGTTGCTGAAGACTTAAACATATCGATTAGCTCTTGCCATTCGATTCGAAATTCTTGCCAAAGTTACTCAATTCCGACCAAAAACAACATCGCATTAACATTGCTAAGGACCTGTTCGCGACAACCCAAATTTGCTCCAGAGGGTCATACCTGGTAACGAATCATGGGTTTATGGTTATGACGTGGAAACTAAAGCTTAACCATCCCAATGGAAGCTACCGCACGACCCAAAACTGAAAAAAGTGCGTGAAGTTAGGTTGAATGTGAAGGTTTTGATTTTAGTTTTCTTCGATTGCAGGGGCGTGGGGTAGCATAAGTTCTTGCTACAGGGTAAAACGGTTAATAAGGAATATTACCTGCAAGTTATGCCTAATTTGCGCAAAGCAATCCGCCAGAAACGCCCGGATTTTTGGAAGAATAAAAATTGGCTTTTGCACGATGATAAGGCCCCTGCTGATACATCGTTGCTTGTGCGCGAATTTTTGGCCAAAAACAACACCCTAACAGTATCGCAGCCACCGTATTCCCCAGATCTATCCCCCTGTAACTTTTTCTTGTTCCCGAAACTGAAGAGATCCATGAAAGAGCGACGCGACGGTACGCTACGATTGAGGACATAAAGACGACATCGAAGGAGAAGCTGAACAAGATCACAAAAAATGATTTTTTGAAGTGCTTCGAGGATTAGAAAAACGTTGGCACAAGTCTATTATAGCTGGTGGGGATTACTTTGAAGGGAACAAAATAGATATTCATGAATAAATAATTTTTGAAAAAACACGAAATAGCGTATATCTATATGAGAAGATTGCGAACCGATGTACTTATTTTAATGTGAACTCGAACTTGCACGATGTCTATAAAAATTTCATGTGGTAATTCGTATTCGGTAATTACCATTCGTATCCTGTTTGGAGTTTGTGCATTGAATAGCATTGGAGGAATGACTAACGGGTCCTTCCTTTTTGGCTACCAACACCATACAAGGTTTCCGCGGCCGATTATAGTTTGACGCTTCATGAGGCAGTAGATATTATTTATTTTTATAAGGGAAAATATTGATAACGTTGTTTTCTTTTATTCGTTATGGTAACTGAGCGTGCTATTAATGATTACAAAACTAAATTAGCTAAATTTTCTGTTAAACTTTTTTTATTTGTGAAGGTACGTATCCAAAGTTGTTTGCTATTGTTCGAAGCGAAACTTTAAATTCTCAACTCGTTTATCCACTCCGCGTTAAATAGATGCCTATAAGTTAAAGTATTAGGGTGAATTTCTGATGCCGATCGAAGAGAGGCTCAAGCTTAAAAATTCTAACTAACTAGGTCGAGTAGCTATCAGTTTAAACGCTTTTTCGTTTAACAAAGATTTCAACTTAAAGTTTGTTTAGTTTTGTAACTTAATCTAAATATGCAAATTGTATTTCGTAATCGATACGAATTTTCCATTCGCTGCTGTGTACAGCTACAAATTGCCTCCAACAAAAAACACCTAGGAATATATTTACATACTACAAAATAATAAGAAAAATTAAATATTACACGTTTCTCAAGATTAATCATGAAAGTGCATTTGACAAGTAATTCTTATGCAAACCAGGGTAGGTCGTAGGTGGCGAATCAGTTTCCGCGTTTCAAGATTTTAGGAAGCCGGACCGTAGATTCAATTATAATGGGAGAGTTTCTTAATAAGAAACCAAACTAACAATAAGACAAGTTCCTGAAAGAGCTCATCACCTCATTCAGTACGAGGGTGGCAGAGACTAGGGGGTTCAACTGAAATATAAAAATTGGAGACAAAAAATTAGAAGAAGTCGCTGATATTCAATATCTGGGAAGTTGGACAACTTACGGTGGATATAGAAATATAAAACAAAAAATAGCACAGGGTCAAATCGCCTTTAACAAAATAATGTCAAGTGGTTGGAGGCGTTTGAAATGTGATGTTACAGGAAGATGATGAAGATACTGTGGGTAACGATGGTTAGGAATGAGGATGTATTAAAAAATGCAAGAGAACTGAAAGTGTTACGAAAGACAATAAGAAATGGATGAGATTTACCAATTATCTATCCGACCAGGCTCTCACCCTGATGAAGTCAATTTTTGTGCAATCTAAAGTGGGTGGCGGATCAGCTTGCGCGTCATAATGGGAGAGTTTCGTAATAAGAAACTAGATTAACAATAAGTCAAGTTTCTGAAAAAGGTCAGCACCTCATACAGTACGAAGGTGTCTCTGCCACGGGGTTCGATTAAAATATAAAAATTGGAGACGATATTCGATATATGGGAAGTTGGATAACTTACGTTGAATATAGAAATATAAAACAAAAAATAGCACAGGGTCAAATCGCCTTTAACAAAATGATGTCAAACAGTTGGAGGCGTTTGAAATGTGATGTTACAAGCAGATAATGAAGATACTGTGGATAACGAAAGTTAGGAATGAGGACGTATTAAAAAACTGAGAACTGAAGGTGCTACGGAAGACAATAAAAAATAGACGAGATGGGTTGGTAGAACACCTTCTCAGACATGAAAGGCTATTTTGAAACATATTAGAAGCAGAAACAAGAGTAAGGAGAGAGATCTAGATTAGATTATTGATATTGACGTACGAAGATTATTTCAAGTGCGTGTCCCACGAGTCTTAGGACTGGCGACTAAATGATGATGATGAACAATTATCCTTAAAGCAATACATTGAACTGGCATTTTACTATTTAGAGGGCGCAATTAGAAGTAGTTACCCTTATTACGGTGGTATTATATAAAAACACGTACTTAATCGAAAACATTGTTCAAATATGTATATATACTCATACAGTGACTGAAAAAATATGTAAAAAGTCGTTATTCCTTAAATAATAAGGCACCATCTAAACCTTATAAACACTTACTCAAAAAATTTTGGCCTTGATAATTGGTTACGAAAGTGCATAATAATATGATTACTGTATAATATTTATGATCAGAAACTTAAACGTTAATGCACAACCGTCCAAGCGCCTCAGAATGTTTGGTTGCAGGTTGCAATGTATATTAACAATAAAAAATAAAATGCCTCTTTACATTATTATCAAATTATGGTTCAAGCATTATGCATATTGTACAATTATTTAAATAGAATAATTCACCATGTCACGGTGCTATTGTTATAACGCAGGCTAGCAAGCAAATTCCATTCAAGTATCCATTGCATAGAAACAATACATATGACACATTTCAGATGACGGAACTGAATAAAGGGGCAACTGTTTCTAGGATTAAGATTTTTTCCGCAAAACTTGGCCTTCTTATTAAGAAATATTTCACTCATACGGAAATTGAGGAAAAAATATTTAAATTTTGTTCCCTATGGAGCACCCATCGGCTAATGCAAAATAAAGCAGACACAATGTAACTCTTAACTGATTTAAATTAACGAAAACAAGTATATCTTTAAGAAATTTTCTTTCAATTTTAGTCGTACATACCACTATTATACGTATTTTAGTAGGTATCGTTATATATTTCTCATTATTAGGTCATCCCTTTCTCACGTGTGGTTAGGGTAATTTAATACGTGATTGGTTGAAATACATTTTTACGTGACACTTACAGATAGGTATTAAGTTCCTAAGAATAAGACTAGGTTCAATATCATCATCATCATCACTTCACCGTAATGTCCTACGTATCTCGGTTTGCAATATAATTCAGTGCGGCAATCTTACAACATTCTAGAGTTGGCTGACCATCTACACGTCTAACTATAAGGAAGAAACTAGGATGCCTACTTTTTTCCAGAATGGTGTTCTTTAATTGGAACTTTTAATTAGAATTTGCAAATTTTGACGTGTCTATATTCGATCACGGATAGGCTAAATGCATTAGTTATCTACTTTTTTGGGGACTGTCACCACATTTAATCATCCCATCATATATTGCTGTATGTCCCATGCTTTTCCCGTTTTTCAACAATTTCGACTAAGGACGCTGATACGTCGTTTTTTATAATAGTTATTGATGTCGGTAATCATAATGCTGAAAACAATTTTCATTTGGTAATCCAACTTGTCTCTAACTTGTCCTTTATGACTGAAAAAGTGTCCTACCAACCTATCTCGCGTATTTCTCATTAACTTCCATGCAGTCTTCCGTTCTCCTGTTCCTCATTCCTAACCACCCTCTCTATCCACGGCATCCTCATCATTCGCCTGTAGCACCACATTTCAAAGGCTTCCAACTTTTTCAGCCGCGTCCACAAACAAAGAACAATCACCGTCCACGTTTCGCAACCGTATAAAGCCGTGCTTAACAGATACACCTTTAACAATCTTTTTTGAATTTCTAAATTAACCGATCTCGAGCATAGAAGTAACTGCT